AACACAATTAATGAGTAAACGTACGTAACTAACAAAAAATACTGAAGTTTGATCAAAAACCTGCTGTAACTCGATTCACAAAAATAGGATTGCTTTCTAATTTTGTATAGTTAATCCCTAAGTATCATACAATAGTACGAAATTACATTTACGTTGGCAGAAAAGTTATAATTTTTATTATTAAATGAACAATCAGACATGACTTACGATAAATTGAACGATTCGACAAAAAACCTGACGTAACTCTGTTTACAACAATAGGATTGCTTCCTAATTTTTTATAGTTTATCCCTAAGAGTTGTACAATAATACTAAATAGGTTTTACGTTGGCAGAAAACATAAAATTAACACAATTAATGAGTAAACGTACGTAACCAACAAAAAATACTGAATTTCGATAAAAAAACCTGCTGTAACTCGATTCACAAAAATAGGATTGCTTTCTAATTTTGTATAGTTAATCCCTAAGTATCATACAACAATACGAAATTACATGTACGTTGGCAGAAAAGTTATAATATTTATTATTGGATGAACAATCAGACACGACTTACGATAAATTGAACGATTCGACGAAAAATCTGATATAACTCTGTTCACAAAAATAGGATTGCTTTCAAATTTTGTATAGTTTATGCCTACGTATCGTACAATAATACTAAATAGGGTTTACGTTGGCAGAAAACATAAAATTAACACAATTAATGAGTAAACGTACGTAACTAACAAATAATACTGAAGTTTGATCAAAAACCTGCTGTAACTCGATTCACAAAAATAGGATTGCTTTCTAATTTTGTATAGTTAATCCCTAAGTATCATACAATAGTACGAAATTACATTTACGTTGGCAGAAAAGTTATAATTTTTATTATTAAATGAACAATCAGACATGACTTACGATAAATTGAACGATTCGACAAAAAACCTGACGTAACTCTGTTTACAACAATAGGATTGCTTCCTAATTTTTTATAGTTTATCCCTAAGAGTTGTACAATAATACTAAATAGGTTTTACGTTGGCAGAAAACATAAAATTAACACAATTAATGAGTAAACGTACGTAACCAACAAACAATACTGAATTTCGATAAAAAAACCTGCTGTAACTCGATTCACAAAAATAGGATTGCTTTCTAATTTTGTATAGTTAATCCCTAAGTATCATACAACAATACGAAATTACATTTACGTTGGCAGAAAAGTTATAATATTTATTATTGGATGAACAATCAGACACGACTTACGATAAATTGAACGATTCGACGAAAAATCTGATATAACTCTGTTCACAAAAATAGGATTGCTTTCAAATTTTGTATAGTTAATGCCTAAGTATCATACAATAATACTAAATAGGTTTTACGTTGGCAGAAAACAAAGAATTAACACAATTAATGAGTAAACGTACGTAACTAACAAAAAATACTGAAGTTTGATCAAAAACCTGCTGTAACTCGATTCACAAAAATAGGATTGCTTTCAAATTTTGTATAGTTAATGCCTAAGTATCATACAATAATACCAAATTACTTTTACGTTGGCAGAAAAGTTATAAGTTTTAGTATTAAATGAATTTGAGGGGCGTGCCATATACTACGCAGGCTATGTCCGTCGGCTAGCTCCGTCGGCTAGCTTCAGCTTCATATGCTAATATATCAACAGCCCCAATTTGTCCACTGCTGAACATAGACCTCTCCTGAGAAAGGAAGTTTTGGCCTGCTATACCACTCTGGGCAGACGGGTTGGTATACGAGTATGGTTTGTTTCAAGTTTTCCTTCTCTTTGCAGTGGTGTTATAGTTTGCTCTTACGACACCCACGCGATAAACAGGGGTGGAGAAAACTGCGTATTTTTAATCCGTCGCTACACGGATTACATCAATTAGCAGCAATGGTTTATCATACAAGTAGCAACTACTATAGTCTCAAAGCTAGACGTACAGCCATTAGTATACACACAGGCCGCTGGGCTCCACTCACTCTAACAGAATCAGAAGACAAGTAATTCTCGTAATGTTAAAACATAACAGAACGAAAAGTGATTGAATTGGGACTGAATTATAAATTTACTTATTTTATACAGATTTTCACTTTTTTCAACTTTCCGTCACAATACGATGGAGTACATTACAGTCAAAGCTGGATGTTCAATACTTTACTACGACTATCTTTTATGATATTTGCGAGATCGCGGAGTAAATCGGTACTGAATTTTTGTTACGAGAATTGACCTTCAAAGCTTTTTTTAAGGAAGAGGGGGCAAACGAGCATACGGGTCACCTGATGGAAAGTGACTACCGCCGCCCATGAAAGCCTGCGACTCAGGAGACACAAGCGCGTTACCGGTCTTTGCGAAAGGAGTAAGTATTCTCTTTTCTTGAAGGTTTGAAAATCGTATCGGACTTACAGTAACAGAATGCTCAGTGAGAATAAACGGTTTTAATGGTTGCGTATACACATTGTTAACAGTATGTCAAAATAAGAACTACCGCGTTTAAAACAACATCAACTCTTCGCGTCAATCAATATTATTTGCACAAGTGTCTGACCAATAGTCGATACGCTAATATAATTGTAAATATAATGTAAGAATCGGCATTTGCTCACCGTATGTAATAATGTACTGCAGTGTTAGATTTCTTCTCGTCAACTCAATTGAGTAAGGCGGCAAAGCGCGCGGCTAACGAGCCTACAATTCTTTGCATTGTCATTGAAGTAAATATGAGCATAGCAATGCAGGATAGTTAAGATTTGGTAAGTGGAGATGTCTCCATATTTGTGTAGACATCTCGTGCAGTGTGTAATGTGATGATGGTTATAAGGCTTGGACTCTCCAGCAACAGTTCAAGTTGTTCGACCCTGACCTACTCTTCCAGTTATTACTTACACTAGCAATCCATTCCTTATACCCCTTTCTTTTTTATACTTTCAATTTGCCATCTCACTCATGCTCTTTGAGTTAAGTGATTGTGTCGCCATGTGTATGCATGGTACAATGAAATATACGTAAGTGATAATTTATTGGTGGGAATGTTACAATCTAACAGTTTTAATGTCTCGTCCAAACTAAGATGTGCGCAACGGCCGCTGTGGGCGACTGAGCGACGCTGATAAGGCGCGGCGTTGTCACCGGTGCGGTGTGCAGCGGTGCTGACTCACTTGCGCCAGCGCCGGCCGCTGTGCAAATATTGCCCAGTCTCACTCGTAACTAGCTATGTGCAATACTTCGCGCGACGCGCCGCAATAAACACTTACCACGCTCCACTGCACACTTGACAATTGCACATGTGTGTGCTACATTATTTACTACATTTCATTAAGGGCTCTTATCATTTTACAATTTGAAAGAAGCTGTTTCCAGGTTGATATTGGAATCTACTTTAGTGTCATAATTGAAATGATGTAGGTATAAGATGTGTGCAAAACTATTTAGAAAACACAATTTTAAAAGAAATTTTTGATCTTGGTTTTGGATTTATAGCCTTCAAAGTTTGAACATTAACTAAGAATTCTTTAAAAGGAGCACCATAAAGATCTTGTGGAAATTACCAATAAGAGAAATAAAAAATAAATGAACATTGGCTTCCATAACTTTTTTGTGGCAGGCCTTACAATAAAACTACTATAATTAATACTTTCACATTATAAGAAATGAATTTGACCATTTTACAAATATACTGGCTCACCCAAACACAAGACTGCACTGCTGCATACAAATGGAAATATAATTAAGAAACTTTTACAAAAGCATATGTAATTTAGAAAATTTATCTATTAGAATATGAAGTTTTATAACACATAATACATGATATATTGTAAGTAGGTTGCAGTCGGACACAAAGATTGCATAACAAAGTGGCTAATGTATGCACTTACATGCAGTAAGTGGCTCAGAGACACTAATTAACAAAGTCATTGACACAAATACAACCATGTAGAGCAGCATGAATCACTGCAGCGTGCAGCAGGTGCAGCCAAGTGTGCAGGTGCTGCCTCATGATATTCATACTTGCTATGACAGTTAGTCAATTAGGTCAATGTAGTAATGGAGACTACACACCACTTGGTTTGCAACTGTACACAATTAGCCTACTACACCACTCAAGTAAGATACACTTAGTGGCCAGTGCAAGCTAAATTATGTTCACCTATCATGCACATGATGTTAATACCATATTTACATCTCCTCGGTTGCTAGCTGCATTATGTAACAATCAACATACACTGAAAAAATACATTACATAAAAATAATGAACATGTCACCTGTGTAATTACTTCATTTTATGAAACAATAGGTTAATTAGAACTGTCATGTGTGTAGATGGTTTAATGAGTCATTCATTCAAAACCTTAAGTCTAACATGCAGTGTGTGAGTTGACAATCAGAAGTAAATACCAATGTGTGTAAATATTTGGGCCGAGCAGTAGATAACATGCAATCAGAACAAGTATTAGTTTATAGGGGTTAACATTTACGTATATTGAAGAGCTACTCATTAAATATACACATATGTGTGTAGTGTTATGGGTGCATCTGTGTTGTCTCACTAAACAATAGTCTAAGGAGCTGTTATCAGCTGCTATAGACAATAACTGTGGCTATTCATACAGAGAATGGCTTGTTACAGGATGTGCCACACAGGACATATACACCTTACACACCCGCAGGACTACTCACAGTACCAGCACACTAGCATGGGTTGTTTACAAATATAAGTAGACCACTGCACACACACAGCCCAATTGCTTATCAAAACTATTACTCTCACAGTATTCTTTGAAGACTCTAATATCAATAAAGTACAATCACTATCAAAGTGACTGCTTAGTGCAATATATTATCGCGCGCGGAGCGTCCATTACGTCTATCTGCCACACAATGCGGGGAGGTTCCTTTGTGTGGTGCATGAGTAACGAAGAGTGACCTTGACGCTCATTGTGCAGGAGCGCGAACGCCGAGCGATCACACAGTGAAAGGACATAGAGAATACTCACGTTTGGCGGCCTGCACGACATCCTTGACTTCTTTGATGAGACGCTTGATCTGCTGGCTGGTGCGCTCGAGCTCCTTTTCGTGCCTCTGTAAGTTCTCACGGAACTGAGGGCTGTCCGCCAGGCACTCAGTAAACTCAAGTGGCTGCAGGCCCACGCCCATCGTCACCCACTCTGCCGACGCTCACGGTCACAACACCAGACACAAGACACTTTCACCGAGCGCGCTTAACCGCCACCATCGCGTCGCGATCTATCTGACTCTGCACCACAGTAATACACCAACGGACGGATAAGAGGGACGGTCAGACGATCAAAACGAATTACACACTACTCACTTACACTACGCTATTCAACAAAACGAATAAAACCTACGATACGACAGCAGAGGAAGCGACTGACTGCGTAGCTGTCAAAATGTCAGATGAATTTACTAAATTGCCATATCACAATATTGAGTCAATCAAAGATGTGTTTTATTTTATTACAAATGATTGTTAATTGACTTTATATATTTACATGTGAATTAACCTACTTTCAAAATTATAACACACATGAAAGCAAACAATTTGTCAAAAAATATTTTTCATCCTCTACCATCATTTGAATGAATTATTAAGCATGGCAGCCCTGACATCACACACTTTTCTTTCCACTCAGACTCGATTTCAAAAGATTTAAATACGATTATGTATAAAGATCGAATCCGAAGCTGTAGTATAACATTTGATTATATACTGATTTATGGTAGACCTATATTTAAATAGTTGAGTTGAATTCAAATAGAAGATTTACTTTTCTGTAGTTGTAAAGTTACTTCGTCCATTTAAAAAAATACCGAACTTTTCCTTTCCAGGACAGAAGTACAACTCAGTAGTAACAACTAATTCTTCTGAGAAAACGTAGGTACCTAGTTTACTTACTTAACACGAGACCGTAAAACCTTACCTACCTTACCGTAAGACTTACTGTAAAATCTGCAAAATATTTTACTTCCGCCTCCCGATTTAAGGTTTTTTTTTAATTAATTTTTTTTAGATTTCCTCTTTAGATTATTAATACGTCCACATAAAGCTACCTCTCACTAATAAGTAACATTAATTTTCTTATCTCTATCGCGGTTACAGCATGTAGGTACATTAAGTAACTTTATATATGCGATGTTCTTGATGTTGTTTTATTTTATGAAAAATGAAAATATGAAATAGAAGAATTTCAAAGATTTGTAATGTGAAATGTTTTTGTGCACATACATTGCAAATGCGGGCTAAACCTTACGAGATAGGTTAAAATAATGTAGGTACCTACTTCAGTCCGGAATTGTATATCTTAAAAAATCTAATGGTTATATACCATTAGATCTAATATCTATCTACAACTAGTATCCTAAAGGTTATCTACAGTAACCATTTTTTATCCTTTACATTACCTTTTAGGCTAATTTGTTTAGGCATAATTTCTGGCAATAATTTGCATCCGCAAAAAGTTCCTGGGCATAATGACTATTAACCTAGTAGTATTTAGGCATAAAAACCGGTCAGGTACGAGTCGAACTCGTGCGCCGAGGGTTCCGTACCTATGCAGATTTTACGTGGATTTTCGAGAAAATTTGTAAGTACCAAAATTTATCTTAATTTTCAACATTATTTTTATTTTTTGAAATTATTCCTTTATTTGTGCTATAATACGTTTCTTTTTGGCAAATTTCGTGATTCTAGGTCAACGGGAACTACCATATAGGTTTTCAACCCAAAACCTGTAGGGTACTTCCGGTTGACCTAGAATTGACAATTTTGGTTAAAAGCAAAGTCTTGGAGCACGAGTAAAGAGGAAATTCTGAAAAATAAAATAAGTTGAAAATTAAGGTAAATTTTGGGACTTACAAGTTTTCTCGTAAATCGAAATTTGCCCATATCTTTTTATCGTGTTGACTCAGGACCTTGATTTTTATACACCTAATAGGGACCATAGACCTCAGTATCTGGTATAAATACGTTGGAGTCGTTCATATAATAAAACAACACATTCGCTGTAATAATTAGTTTATTATCAACACAGGCAGAGACCAATTTAGCCCTATAAACATAATAACCTCATCTCCTCAGTAGGTAAACTCGATGCTCCGGCTAAGGGCTATTGCAGCTTGTTAGCACGGGACACGTCGCAAGGAGCGCCTCACTTGGTTTTGCCACTTTCAGACGTAGTGGGTGCAGCTTCTTCCTCTTCGGAACCCTCCTCCGAGCTCTCCTCCTCGTCGGAATCTTCCTCGGACTCGGAGCAAGAGTACGAGTAGTCGCCGCCTTCAGCGCCAGCCTCCTCGCCCTCGCCTGTAACACGACGTCGTCACATCAAAGCCTCGCTCTGAGTCGGTACGCTACTCTGCGACACTGTGAGCGATATTAACCCAATGCTGGCAGTAAAATAAAAATAGTAATTAACCGGTAATTAATGTGATAAGTGGTGTTTTATATTTGTTTTTCCATCGGTGCCAGAATTTGTTTTTAGGATGGGGCAAACTCGGAAACGTAAATTAAAATTCCCGCGAACTCCACGCAGCTATACGTGGGCGGATCTCATCGATTATTCTGTATTTCAGTAATTATTACAGGTACCTTGCAATGAATTTTGTTTTCCGATGATGTTTTTATTTATACCGCCTATCGATAGTGTCAGTATAAATAAAAACGGCTCGTGTAAATAATAAATCGATACGGACATAAAAAGTACAAAGTATTAATGACGGGTCTGTTCAGTTTAGTTTGGAAGATAGCTACGAGTTGTGTGACCTGAGTAGCCGTAATCTTCTTCGTCGGCGGCGGCGGCGCCCTGGCGGCCGTAGCGGTGCGAGCGCGTGGACATGCTGAGGTCGGCGGTGAGGTGCGTGGGGTAGGCGCAGCGCGGGCAGGGCGGGGCGGCGCGACGCTCCGGCCGCACGCCGCGCCGCCGCACGTGCTCGTCGCAGAAGCACGTCTTGCAGCGCAGGCACGAGTACTGGCCCAGGCGGTTGCACGACTGGCATTTGTACGTCTCCGACTCCAGCACCTGGCACGACGCCTGGTGCTCGAACTGGTCGTCCTCGCACAGGAACCCCGAGCAGAAGCAGCACCGGAACACGCGACCGCCGTGCTCCCACACGCCTGCGAAACGCACCACGATTACCCTCCCACCTTTAAATACCTGGACCACGGAGCGAACGCAAAGAGGTGTTGCAATTAGATTTTCTTATGAAACAACGCGTGATGATTTGTTGGTGTTAAGCTCCGCCCACTTCACTTTTTCCCATCCATGATGGATACTCAGAATTTCCTATTAGTGAGTGTAAAGTAATTTAATATTAATTCTCTGTACCATCTCAATACTTACATCTATTGCAAAAATCTTAGTCATATTATAATGGTACTAATCTCCCTAATATTATAAAAGCGAAAGTTTATGTGTTCCTTCGTTCTCGTTGACTTATCCCACGCTATGTACTGCATAAGTGTTATTTTTCACGCCAAAATGGCTGAACGAATTTGGATAAAATGTGGTATGTAGATAGATGTTTCGGATTTTTTTTCATTTAAAAGACAACTCCCACACTATGAATACTTATATCCTGTTCCGCAAAGGACTTCAGAGACATACATGAAACGGTAAACAAAGAAAACCCTGACTCAGAACACCAATCTGTGGATCAAATAAGTATTGTCCCATGTGGGGATCGAACCCATACAATCATCGCAGTAGGAAGCAGCGAGATGTCCGCTTAAACCATCTGTGTTGTCTGCTTGATTGTATTATTATTATATTTGTTAGTCATGGTCTTACCGCGCTCGCACTCAAGGCACACGGCGTCCATGAGCGGGCAAGTGCACGCGTGCGACGTGAGGCACTTGCGCCCGTGGCACACCCACGCCTCGCAGAAGTCGCAGATCGCCCCCTAAACATTAAATCATATGTATAAATAGCGCTTGCACATATTTGTTCCGATTCCACCTCTGATGATGATGAGACAATCCTGAGATCATCAACAAGCTACAAATGACAAGTAAGTTATTAAACACATATAACTCAGCTGTGGACATCTAGGTTCTGGCCTAATATACCACTCTGGCCAGACAGGTTGGTATAGGGTTTATGTCAAGTTTTCCTTCTCTTTGCAATGCTGCTGTCCTGCGTAGTTAGCTCCCTTAGCCGACTCTTATGACACCCACGGGATGTCGTCCCGTCCCGTCACCACACAGATAAAGATATCAGTTATCATATTACACAACTCAACACTCAACTTACCACCATGCCTAGGCCTGTGGTGAAAACTCCAGGGTGTCTGACAACACAGTCTCCAGATTTGAGCATGCACTTCACTTTACCACAGTGTGCACATGTAGGCAGCCGCTGAACTGCCTGGCAGAAGTAACAGAAGGCACGGTTCTTCTGCTTTCTGTTACACAAAATAAATAAGTTGAAATAATACACAACTGCATCAATTAGAATACACTTTCTACCTCCGCTAACATGTAGGCCTTTTTTGGGTAAGTTTACTTCTTCTTAACCTTATTTGGAAACCTGTGGTTGCTTTGTATTACTTTGTAAAATGTGGGAGTTGTTTATTTATTTACAAAGCCACATTTTATGCACTTGTATTGACTCAGGTGTTGCATTTATCTGCAATTAGTGTTATGATTGTTGAAAAGATATCAAAAACTGAGAGTACCTAGCCATAAAGTTACCGTTAGCCAATTTAATTTATTAAACATTATATTCATTGACTGCCAATGAGTATAACATCTAATTATTATATTCAGGCTTGCATTACTACACCTTAATAGACTAATAAGCAAATTGATTGTGTCCCAAAAATAGAGGTTTAAGCGAAGCTTTCTAGCTCTTTATCAGGATTAAAAACCAATGGGACGTACTAATCCTTAGCAATTTACGACAGAATAACGTAGCAAGCGTTTGTACCATACGAAGCTATCACCGTAATGTTGAGTAAATATATTAACAATATTTACTTCAAGCATTTGTCGCAGTCCATGGGCACATTGCACGGATGCTGCGCCAAGTCGACGTGCTCGCGGGCATTACGGATTTCTTTCTGCCTCATCTTCTGCTTCTCCGCCTTTTTTCGCTGACCAGTTTTCTTCTTAGGCATTGTCTATATTTCTACAAAATACAGTGAATTATGAAAAGCCGATTTTATTAGCTGATTAAGTTCAGCAAAGGTGAACATGAATAAATGTGAGTTCAAGTACAATGACAACTGAAACTGACAATATTGTGTCATCACTTCAAATGTCAAATTCTTTGAAGAGGCTGTCACAGCGAGATGGTGTCTTAAACAACTAAAAAATAGGATTGTCAAAATGAAGAGATTTAACAAAGTATATGACTGAATACATTTAGTATATTAGTATAAATCACTTTAATTATTTTTTTCACTAATACTTTAACATATAATATAAATATTCATTACAAGTACTTGATGTTATCATGATTGTACTCTGCACTTTTACTACTGCGTGCGTAGTCTGCGTAGGCCGGACTGTTTTAATAACAGTTATTTTGGAGTTAAGAAATCTAAATATCTATTTTTTGGCAGGGTAAAGTGATAGTTAGTGTTTTGTAGGATAAAGGGTAAAATACCCATTTGAAAATAATCCATTAACGTTATATCGAATACTACGTAGTTTTTTATTCGTTGATCACATTAATTGTAATTCCTAGACGAATCCTGTGCTACTACCCGTCCAAATAAAATGGTTCCTAGCAAGAGGAAATTTATGAAACCAACTGTGGTTTACTTTTAGTAGAGTTATAGTTGCAATTTTGTACCGCTTGCTAATCAAAACAAAACAAACATTATTTTTATTTTCGGATCGTTCGGGCTTCGCGTAGTGTCGTTGACTGTCTTTAGCGGGGAGGCGGGGAGCGTAGTTAAATTGTTATTGTTCGCCAGTTGATGTGAACGACTACAGGCTGTCTAGTTGTGATAGCAGTGCGCAGTTTGTTTATTTTATAGTTAAGGACAGAAATCGCACTCTACGCAGATTCAATGATTTCTCCCATCGACATGGTAAGTGTTTAATTTTTATTATTTAGCTAACTCGTTTAACAAATCAAAAATCTACTTCGTAAGACTGTTTATTATATCACGGCCTTTATACTTATTTATTTATAGCCAATTACTTACAGCGAAAACTACTTTTAATCATTCGAACAAACTTCTTTAGACTATAACAATCATTGCAAAATATATATTATATTTGATATTATTACTACTGGTCAATACTCTGGTAATATACAGTAGTAGATAGCTTAGGTACAACAACTACTGCGTGCTATGCATGAGTTAAAGTAAGTATTATATCAATGGTGCTATGTAAGTACATGTATAGGTCGGGTCGAGGTTGAATAAGAATATACATATCATGGAATAATTTAGTTTTCAACGTAGTAACGGTCACCATAGCTTTGCACGGAGACATTATTGTAGAGGTATAATTTTCTTTAAGTACCTAACAGATAGCCGTGAAACTTTATCTACGAAATATTTTGTAAATAGTCTCATAATGTTTTTTTAGATTTTTCAAGCAAATAGTTTAGCTCGTAGGGAGGGCACACTTAAATCTAACAACAAATAGCACTGTAAAGTTACACATTTCGTAAACGGATGACTGAATCGAAAAATAGGTTTCACACCTCTTCAAGTTTTTGATAGACCTCATCCTCACACCACAAGATACAAGGAGAAAACTCACTCCGTCACTAATTTTCACTAGAAGCGACGATGTTCTCGGCCGATGTAACGTTCTTTCGATGTATTAGTGTGCCATGATTATTTTTGGTTCATCGTTAATGGCATCATCATCAGCCTGTCGCCGTCCACTGCTGAACGAAAGCCAGGAGCGCCAACCGTCCCGGTCTTGGGCAGTCCACGTCCATCTTCGAATTCAGGAAGAGACCATGTCTTCCGTAAAATGTGAATTTGCGTAACATTTTATCATATCGATCTGATACTGAATCATTTAACATGTAATGGCTAATTTGGTATTAGTGACTTGACAATAATCAAAACGTTTGACCCGAAGCTTGAGAAATTTGACTGATGATGATTATGGTAGTATGTTGAGAGCTAAGGGCAATACAACAAACTATTCAGTCAAGTAACTTAGTAACAAGTTCTTTTTTAGGGTTCCGTACCTCAAAAGGAATAAACAGAACCCTTATAGGATCACTTTGTTGTGCGTCCGTTCGTCTGTCTGTATGACAAGACCCTTTATCTCGGGAAGGCGCGGATTTATCTAGTTGAAATAAAAACAATATGCTCAGGTCTACAGTCTCTCAAAGTTGTGAAAAAACTAAACTTCTAAGTTAACGTAAAAAATGATACGGCCGTTTATTCCGCAAAATATGAATGAAAATTGTTTTTTTTCCGTTGACCTAGAACTATGAAATTTGGCAAGTAATACCTTCTTATACTACAAGTATAGGGAAAAATCTGAAAACTATACATTTGGAATTAAATCATAAAACAAACAGGATCTTTATGCAAGGAACGGCGGCGGTCCAAATGTTGAATTGAGTTAACCGTGTCATGTGGGGTATCGTAAGATATAGCTTCATTGGTGCAAGCTTAAACAGATTTTTAAATTATTTTAATGATGTACCTATAGTTTTCGATTTACCTTTCTGAGTTACTCCATTAAGCGTAACCATGTGGTGAATGAATGACGAAGGATAATGCCCTCGCCTTACCCTCAGAATACGCGCGCTCGCTTCTTAACTGCTGTGGGCCTTTTCATTTTGTTTGATATAACTTCTTCGATGGTAAAAATGTTTTCATCCAAAAACAAAATTTCGAAGTTGTTTATTATTTTTGCCGTAACAAAGCGCGGGATCTTTGCAGCCTATTTTTTTTAAACGCTTGTTAAAAAAGTAACCAGTCTTTTTACGATAAGCTCGTAGTTCCAGGTCGTCATTTAACACTCTAAGCTCTTGCTCTTGCTTAGCCCCTTCTGAAGAGCTAACACTTTTTGTTTACGCTCTAAATTTCGTTGGATTGAATATATATTGAGTTGTATGGTGTTCCCAGAAGCAATAACAACGTATCTCAGAATAATCCTTATGCACAGAATGTGTAAAAATTATAATGCTATTTCCTCACATGTAGACATTTTTCACGATAGCTCCTTCCTGCTACATTATATTACAACCTAATGAGACCTCTTTAGAACAACAAAGAACAAAGGCAAAGATAGAGAGTGGGTTATGAAAAAAAGCACCTCTGATGTGCAAGAAGTACAAGAAAGGAAAAACTAACAAAATAAAAAACATATTGTCATTAGCAATTTAGTAAAAGAAGTGAAATCCCAACAAAAAACATTTTCATGTAAAATGTTGCTAAGGCGAGGCCCTGTGGGTCCCACTCAAAAAAGACATCAGATCTCATGTAGAGACAAGCTTAAGCTAACTCTACACGCCCTAATTTAAACTCTACACCTTAGACAAAATAAGGTGGGCGTAAGTTGAAAAAACTATTCATACATATTCATTCTTGTAGTAACGAAACGGCCTTGCATTATTATTAGGTTTATTGTTAAAAATAGTTGGATTATCTGCATGCACTTAAATATACGTAGACTTAATTATTTTTATTAAATTCTCTACCACTCAATCTCGGGGCGATGTACAAGTGTTATACGTTATACCGTATTCGGTACGACTAAGAACTCTTGTTTGATATTAGGTCTTTATCTATGAAATTGCCGTTTTGTATACAATTAGTGAAAGTACTTATTTTTTCAAACTTTTTTATTTCTGTTATTCGAAGTAATCACCCATGCAATCGACGCATCTTTGCCAACGCATTGGCAGTTTATTGATGCCCTTCTTGTAAAAATCAGCTGGACGGGAGGCAACAAATTCTTTAAAGGCTTTTGTACTGCCTCTCGGGAATTGAATTTTTTACCCACAAAAAAGTTGTCTAAATTTTGGAAAAAGTAATAGTCGGTAGGTGCAAGGTCTGGTGGTCACATCTGCAACTAGCTTTGGTCAATCGGTCGTCCCCACTGCTCCTTCACGACAACGCGCGACCCCATACTGCGCAACAGACAGTCTCCAAGCTGCAAGAGCTGGGGTTGGAAGCTCTCCCTCATCCGCCATACTCACCAGACCTTGCACCACGGCAATTTCAGAGGTAAAGACCTATTATTATTCATGTGAAGTCTGACACATACTCGTTTTACATGGAATACGTAATAATAGGCGCTTACACACACAGGTACATAAGTAGGGGGTCGTGGCTATAGATGCGAAGCCATAACGATTTGAACCAAGGGGTTAAAAATGCATTTTTGTTATTAACGGTTAATTAACCGCATTTTATGCTTGTTAGTGAATTGAATACAAAAAAATAGAAGTTTTTTTTTATGGTATAAGGGGCAAACGAGCAGACGGGTCACCTGATGGTAAGCAACTACCGCCGCCCATGGACACCTGCAACTCAAAAGTTACAAGTGCATAGCCGCCCTTGGAGTCCCTCCCGCTCGAGTCAGCGGGAGGGGGGATTTGGGCTCCAGTAACCTCACTCACTCAGTGAAAGGCCACGAAAGAATTGCTTAACACCGGTTTTCTGTGAGGCCGTGGTATCACTCCGGTCGAGCCGGCCCCTTCGTACCGAAGCATGGCTCTCCCACGGTATTTTAAAAGAAAGTATTAAAAACATTATGATTATGATTAAAAGACTCCTGAGACCGACCGACGGCGTGCGGCGTGCGACCTTGTCGGCCCGCTTCGTCCGCCGCCGGCCACGTTTCTGAGACTCCAGCGCTGAGCATTTCCATACATAGCATTCATACGCCACCCGCTTCGGACAGGCGTCGGTCAGAGAACCCCGGGCCTTAAACTATTGGGCGTTGGCGGGTCTCTGCCGGCTAGCAGTAGTAAATTCATTTGATTCTCGTCGTTATCGCTGCATGACAATATACAGATAAAGATAACATTCGAGTAAACATAATTTTTAACTAAAATAAATTATATGTATAGTTACTGCATTTTAATAACCTCTTTATTTTAAAAACAAATAAGGTTTTAAATCCTAAAATCATACAAATGCTAAACTTTTCATTATTCAAACAGAGCTGTTGTGTGTGAATCTTATATGTTTATAACAATACAAATATGCATTAGTAGATATTAATCGTTGTACTTCACAGCATTAGTTGGACTATATATGTACATATTTTTCGTTTGCATTTAATGACTTCAAAATCTACAAATGCAGTACCATCTTTATAGGTTACAGTCAAATAAATTAACCGTTATTAACTGCATTTTATGGGTAGTTAACTAAAAATTTGCTGAAATTACTGTAGCTGCTTTTTACAACTATCGTGTCTCGTCACGATGCACACGCTGAAGCAACGGCTTCTTCTTCAGGTTATAAGATTAATAGTTTAAAAAAAAGAGAAGATAGATTACCGCCTTTAGACCTATTCGTGTGGTTCATCCCGTGGATGTCGTAAGAGTCGCCTAAGGGAACAAACTACTCAGGACATCAGCACTGCAAAAAGAAGGAAATCTATGCCAACTCGTCTACAGTTCAAGACCTCTTTTCTATGCAGGTGCCTATGTCCAGCAGTGGATCATTGAAGGCTGTTTGATGATAATGATCCAATGAGAAGAAAATAAAAATAAATAGCAGATACTCTAGACTTTTTTATAATAATGCTTATTACGAGTTTATGTAATAATCACTAATACGGTTCCATATTGCGAAGAATATATCTGAGGGTTTACAAAATCAACATATTTAAGTAAGTCCTTTTAACAACACGTACATGTATATTATATAGCTACTGTAGGTTACATAAAATGTTGCCATGAGTAGACTATATACCTACTTATTCACGCCGCGAATGATCTCTCGACCTTGAGCGAGATTGTTCCGCGACATGGCGTCACAGATGGAACGGCGTATTGACTGTTAGCAAATTACTAAAAGCGTTGAGGTTCAATTTATTACTTAACGCGTCCTTTTACAATAGCCAAATCTTATAGACAAGGACACTTGGT